CAGCCCTCCAATGTCATTATAATCTTCAGTTGGTTTTTCATCAACCTCCATTGCCTTAACTCGAGAATCATACTCAGATGGCAATGTATCCAATATCAAGTAACTATCTTTGTTCACCCCAACTAAATCACCAGGCTTTAGCTTGTCAGGGTCAACAAGACCAACCACAGGAAGAAAAATAGTCTGTAGTCAAGAAAGAATAAATAGTACTTCAAGACAAAAGAAAAAAAAATAGGTTTCAGATAGAGCATAGAAGCCTGCGTACAAACTTAACTCTCATGAAGAGAATATAAACGACATCCAGGATCATTTTCATTCTTGATATCCACAATCAAGTTAACAATATTCCAAACAACCTCACGCGTGGACATAAATCAGGGTAGTTACTAGTTACTGAATATAAAACCTACAAAAAAAGTATAACAGCAAAAGACAGGAAAGGAAAGAGGAAAGAAGAAAGAGAAGCCATACACTTTAAAGGAAAAATGAACAAATAAAAAAGGAGAAATTCACACCAAAAGCCCTACATCACGGCAGAAAAGAAATACATAGATGTATGAGAACATGCAGCTTACCTGCCGCGTAGATGTTTTCAATACAACACATTTACCCTTCCTTTGGGAATCAAGATCAATATTTGCTCCGTCTTCCTCAGCCTCATCCTCAGGGTTCATTTCCAAAATCTAGAAACATAGAAATGCAAGTAAGTGCCCAATAGAGCTAAAACAACAATAACCCTAGTCAGAACCTAGGCCAGTAAAGTTATCACTTATTGATTGCTTCCAGTTACTACAGAGTAGACCATGCATTCATCACCCTCATAAACTGAGTATTAGAGAGACAATTCAGCTCAAAATATATATCAAACTAAGAGAGAGANGCTATCACTTATTGATTGTTTCCAGTTACTACAGAGTAGACCATGCATTCATCACCCTCATCAACTGAGTATTAGAGAGACAATTCAGCTCAAAATATATATCAAACTAAGAGAGAGAGAGAAAGACAGAGAGGGAGTGGGAGAGAAGCAAACAGGTTGAGTACTTCACCTTTTCAAGTAATACTTCAGCAGTAGCAAAAGTTAGGGGCAATGTACATCAGTGCAATACACACCCAAAATGACCTGATATAATTACAAAACTCGAATATAGCCAAAAAAAAAAAAGTAGTTCATGTCAGAGTACTCCACCTTTTCAAGTAATACTTCAACAGTAGCATTTGCTAGGGAAGATGTCTATCAATGCAATACACACCCAAAGAACCCAATAAAATTACAAAACTCGAATATAGAAAAAAAGTAGTTTCATGTCAGACCCTGTAGAATTACAAAACTCTCCAACCTATGTCATGTTAGAGTAGTTACTTTGAAATTGTTTCCACAAGCAGCAATTACGGACTAATCACCTTTTAAAGATGTAAAAGCGCCTTTTTTTATCACGACATTAGTGATCCTTTGTTTGAAATGGAAAAAAACTATTAGGCTAAATTATTATGCATAAATATTTTCATGAATTGTTGTTCAAGTGGTGTTACTTTCATATCTAAAATGGTATGCAAAGAGTTTTGTACAATTTTTTCTTTTTAAATGTCTTTGATTTCACATTAACGTGGTTGTCGCTCACAGTTAGATGTCAATTTCGTTTGTAGGGGCTACAAGGTAAACTGCACTTGGCATCCATCTACCTAGAAGGAAGTGGACTCACTCTCAAATAAGAAGATTTCCTACTGACAGGTTTTACAGTTAATTACTTGCCAGGGGCTGCTTCTAAATTTTGTTGCAATGTCATTGGACCTCACATACAGGCACAAAGGCATGCCATCTACGAAGAAGTTAGCTGACCAAGAGCCAGGCAATCATTGTTCGTCTCACCTAATTGAGCATCATGTGTTATATTTCTTCGCAGCAGTATCAGTGGCATATTATACTTATGTCAGGCACAAAACAAAATACTACATTCCCTTCCTTATTTTCTTACCCAGATTTTCTAAGCAACCAAACAAAACACATAGCATCTGAACCTTTAAAAGCAGTCTCAAACACAAGTAACCAACTTAGTTCGTGTAAACTTCAAATTTCTTTGCACAAACCGAGACATAAGGTACAAAACCCAAATCCCTTTGTCTACCATTTTACTATGTACTGCCTCAGCAACCAACCGAAACATAAAGCATCAAATTTACAAATAAATCAGTAATAACTTACCTCAACGATGTTGCCGACTAAGTAAGGAAGTTGCTTGTTCAGTTTGATCTTCTCTTGATTCTCTTTTATCTTTTCCTTGAACGAGTCTAGTTCTAGATTCGTCCTCTGCAACTCTTCCTATTCATATACATCAGATACAAAAGTAAACTGAAAAGAATGTTGATTAAGCATAATACATATATACATATATATCTCTATGTATACAGGAGAGGAAGATCTGAACCTTGAGGATTCGAATTTCGTTATCGAGAAGCCGAGAAGCCCTAATGATATCCTCGGTGGACATCGACGAGAGCTGATCGTCTTCAAAACTGCTGTCTTCTACCATCGGTGATGACATCTCTGATTTATGTGAGAGAGAGAGAGAGAGGGGTCCTGTTCTTTTGTACTCGGCAATCCTTCCCGTTCTTCAGGATGACAAAAGAACCCCTTGGTCTCGTTGTAATATACCGTCTTGGAAAACTCGGGTCGTTTGTTTTTGTTTTTAATTTCTGTCGAAAATAAAAACAGATATTGTTTTTATTTTTGTTTTATATTAATTTTTTGGAGACAAAGATAAAAAAATGAGAATAAAAAATTTGTGTTCTAGGAAATATGCGAAACACAAAACATGTAAGGTTTGTATAAATGACGTCTCGACTTCGAGTCCTGTTAGCCACAAAATACCACTTTATATGACATAGTATAAATATGTGGTCTGTTTGGTCCTCATACAATACATATGAATTAACCCCTCTCTTTTCTTCGCTCATCTACTCTCTTCTCTTCTCTGTCTCAGACAGACCCTCTCTTCTCTTCTCTGTCTCAACTTACCTTAAGAAGAAGGGATTTTCACTCCGATCGATGAAGAAGGAGCATCATTTGGCTACGAAGGTAAGTGTAATCCCTTTATTTTTATAGATATATGTATATATATACATAGATCTATATATATATGCATAGATCTGTACATCACAGGCCCTAATCGATTTTTTTTTATTTGTATTTTTTTCACCACAATATACATAGATCTGTATATTTGTATGTATATTTCATTATTGATTTTGAGTTTTTATCTATCAATGAACATCTTTGTTTTGGGGATAGCTAGTTTTCTGATTTGTTGTTTAGAATGTTTGGGATGTTGTTCTCTTTGTAGAAGGAAAAAAGAAAAAAAGTTGTAGTAAATCAAAAGAAAACTGGTTTCGGGTCTATGGAGATTATTTTAAAGGGTGGTTGTATCTTACAGCATACTCGATCATTACTAGTTATATTGCTTTATCTTAGGATAAGCGAGTCTGATATATTGCTTTAATCTCTAATTATATCTTTTTCCTTCTCTTTCCACCAGATTATATTTGCTATTAAAACTATATTGCAATATTTAGATCAGATCTCCTAAGCTTTTGATGCTTCCTTATAAGTTTAGTAAAGGTAGCAAAATTCTAAGTTAAATTTGTATGTGCATTTCGTTCCGCAGATGACCCACGATTTGAGTTGTAGAAGCCCAAACATGGGTCCTAAACAACCATTTGTGATTATAAAATTTTTGGCATACAGATAAAGGGCCCTGGTAGGTTCTATTGAGAGTGTTGGTGAATTGAGTGATATTATCATTGAAAAATAATCATAATTAGGTAGCTTGCTGCTGCCACTTGACCTAATCAATGTCCATTCTAAATTGTCCCTAATTATCATTATTTTCACCCAAGTTCATAAATTTTTTATTGTGGTACCTCATATTGTTTATAGCAGCTTCTGGAATTTTGTGGAAGATATCAATTGAATACAGTCAAGTTCTATTAAAAACTATAATCATCTTCAAGATTAGGTGTTCTTTGATGAATTAGTGGATGTTTTGGTTTAAGAAATTTTTAGATTTGTATTTAGTTGTATGATATATTATAAAGTGTATTAGAAGAGATATGGAGATTGCTTGAGGGTTTGCAATTTCAATTGAAACATGTATATATAAAAGCTAATGTTTTAGCTGGCCTCATTTGCTGTTAGAAATTGGTTGCTTCACTGACTTTTCTGGCAATGGTATTCTATTTTTTCTGTTAAACAAATTTTCTTTTGATCCTTGTTGAACAGAATCTATTTGGATTTAGCTAGGAAAAGAGGTTCTAGGTTCTGGGGTGAGGAAATCCGAGACTGTACAATCTTCATTTTCCTTTTCTGTCAATGGTAAGTTTGGTAACAACATTGCTCATTCTCTCTTTCTCCCCTCTCCCCCTATGGCATGGATTCTTCTTCCTTCTGGTGGCATCCTAACCCTGAGGGGACTGCAACTTCTTGGTCTGACTGGTTTAGGATCTAGTACTGGGTTTGAGCATTTGCATTATATGTAAGTTATCATTTTTACTTATCTATCTATAAGCTATTTATGATATTATACTATTCGAGTTAACCATATCCTTTTTCTATCACTGATAGGTTTGAGAGGGTCTGGGATCCAGTGATAGTTCTAGGAGCCCAAAAGCAAATTAGCTACTACTTCTTGAATCTTGTAAGATTTAGTGCTCTCTTAGTGACCAGAAATTTAATCAAAATTGGTTTTGGTCCTCTTGAAGGATTAAAGCCAATTTCTTTTTTTTTTTTTTTNACATCCAGGATCATTTTCATTCTTGATATCCACAATCAAGTTAACAATATTCCAAACAACCTCACGCGTGGACATAAATCAGGGTAGTTACTAGTTACTGAATATAAAACCTACAAAAAAAGTATAACAGCAAAAGACAGGAAAGGAAAGAGGAAAGAAGAAAGAGAAGCCATACACTTTAAAGGAAAAATGAACAAATAAAAAAGGAGAAATTCACACCAAAAGCCCTACATCACGGCAGAAAAGAAATACATAGATGTATGAGAACATGCAGCTTACCTGCCGCGTAGATGTTTTCAATACAACACATTTACCCTTCCTTTGGGAATCAAGATCAATATTTGCTCCGTCTTCCTCAGCCTCATCCTCAGGGTTCATTTCCAAAATCTAGAAACATAGAAATGCAAGTAAGTGCCCAATAGAGCTAAAACAACAATAACCCTAGTCAGAACCTAGGCCAGTAAAGTTATCACTTATTGATTGCTTCCAGTTACTACAGAGTAGACCATGCATTCATCACCCTCATAAACTGAGTATTAGAGAGACAATTCAGCTCAAAATATATATCAAACTAAGAGAGAGAGAGAAAGACAGAGAGGGAGTGGGAGAGAAGCAAACAGGTTGAGTACTTCACCTTTTCAAGTAATACTTCAGCAGTAGCAAAAGTTAGGGGCAATGTACATCAGTGCAATACACACCCAAAATGACCTGATATAATTACAAAACTCGAATATAGCCAAAAAAAAAAAAGTAGTTCATGTCAGAGTACTCCACCTTTTCAAGTAATACTTCAACAGTAGCATTTGCTAGGGAAGATGTCTATCAATGCAATACACACCCAAAGAACCCAATAAAATTACAAAACTCGAATATAGAAAAAAAGTAGTTTCATGTCAGACCCTGTAGAATTACAAAACTCTCCAACCTATGTCATGTTAGAGTAGTTACTTTGAAATTGTTTCCACAAGCAGCAATTACGGACTAATCACCTTTTAAAGATGTAAAAGCGCCTTTTTTTATCACGACATTAGTGATCCTTTGTTTGAAATGGAAAAAAACTATTAGGCTAAATTATTATGCATAAATATTTTCATGAATTGTTGTTCAAGTGGTGTTACTTTCATATCTAAAATGGTATGCAAAGAGTTTTGTACAATTTTTTCTTTTTAAATGTCTTTGATTTCACATTAACGTGGTTGTCGCTCACAGTTAGATGTCAATTTCGTTTGTAGGGGCTACAAGGTAAACTGCACTTGGCATCCATCTACCTAGAAGGAAGTGGACTCACTCTCAAATAAGAAGATTTCCTACTGACAGGTTTTACAGTTAATTACTTGCCAGGGGCTGCTTCTAAATTTTGTTGCAATGTCATTGGACCTCACATACAGGCACAAAGGCATGCCATCTACGAAGAAGTTAGCTGACCAAGAGCCAGGCAATCATTGTTCGTCTCACCTAATTGAGCATCATGTGTTATATTTCTTCGCAGCAGTATCAGTGGCATATTATACTTATGTCAGGCACAAAACAAAATACTACATTCCCTTCCTTATTTTCTTACCCAGATTTTCTAAGCAACCAAACAAAACACATAGCATCTGAACCTTTAAAAGCAGTCTCAAACACAAGTAACCAACTTAGTTCGTGTAAACTTCAAATTTCTTTGCACAAACCGAGACATGAGGTACAAAACCCAAATCCCTTTGTCTACCATTTTACTATGTACTGCCTCAGCAACCAACCGAAACATAAAGCATCAAATTTACAAATAAATCAGTAATAACTTACCTCAACGATGTTGCCGACTAAGTAAGGAAGTTGCTTGTTCAGTTTGATCTTCTCTTGATTCTCTTTTATCTTTTCCTTGAACGAGTCTAGTTCTAGATTCGTCCTCTGCAACTCTTCCTATTCATATACATCAGATACAAAAGTAAACTGAAAAGATTGTTGATTAAGCATAATACATATATACATATATATCTCTATGTATACAGGAGAGGAAGATCTGAACCTTGAGGATTCGAATTTCGTTATCGAGAAGCCGAGAAGCCCTAATGATATCCTCGGTGGACATCGACGAGAGCTGATCGTCTTCAAAACTGCTGTCTTCTACCATCGGTGATGACATCTCTGATTTATGTGAGAGAGAGAGAGAGAGGGGTCCTGTTCTTTTGTACTCGGCAATCCTTCCCGTTCTTCAGGATGACAAAAGAACCCCTTGGTCTCGTTGTAATATACCGTCTTGGAAAACTCGGGTCGTTTGTTTTTGTTTTTAATTTCTGTCGAAAATAAAAACAGATATTGTTTTTATTTTTGTTTTATATTAATTTTTTGGAGACAAAGATAAAAAAATGAGAATAAAAAATTTGTGTTCTAGGAAATATGCGAAACACAAAACATGTAAGGTTTGTATAAATGACGTCTCGACTTCGAGTCCTGTTAGCCACAAAATACCACTTTATATGACATAGTATAAATATGTGGTCTGTTTGGTCCTCATACAATACATATGAATTAACCCCTCTCTTTTCTTCGCTCATCTACTCTCTTCTCTTCTCTGTCTCAGACAGACCCTCTCTTCTCTTCTCTGTCTCAACTTACCTTAAGAAGAAGGGATTTTCACTCCGATCGATGAAGAAGGAGCATCATTTGGCTACGAAGGTAAGTGTAATCCTTTTATTTTTATAGATATATGTATATATATACATAGATCTATATATATATGCATAGATCTGTACATCACAGGCCCTAATCGATTTTTTTTTATTTGTATTTTTTTCACCACAATATACATAGATCTGTATATTTGTATGTATATTTCATTATTGATTTTGAGTTTTTATCTATCAATGAACATCTTTGTTTTGGGGATAGCTAGTTTTCTGATTTGTTGTTTAGAATGTTTGGGATGTTGTTCTCTTTGTAGAAGGAAAAAAGAAAAAAAGTTGTAGTAAATCAAAAGAAAACTGGTTTCGGGTCTATGGAGATTATTTTAAAGGGTGGTTGTATCTTACAGCATACTCGATCATTACTAGTTATATTGCTTTATNAATATACCGTCTTGGAAAACTCGGGTCGTTTGTTTTTGTTTTTAATTTCTGTCGAAAATAAAAACAGATATTGTTTTTATTTTTGTTTTATATTAATTTTTTGGAGACAAAGATAAAAAAATGAGAANATTATACCGTCTTGGAAAACTCGGGTCGTTTGTTTTTGTTTTTAATTTCTGTCGAAAATAAAAAAAGATACTGTTTTTATTTTTGTTTTATATTAATTTTTTGGAGACAAAGATAAAAAAATGAGAATAAAAAATTTGTGTTCTAGGAAATATGCGAAACACAAAACATGTAAGGTTTGTATAAATGACGTCTCGACTTCGAGTCCTGTTAGCCACAAAATACCACTTTATATGACATAGTATAAATATGTGGTCTGTTTGGTCCTCATACAATACATATGAATTAACCCCTCTCTTTTCTTCGCTCATCTACTCTCTTCTCTTCTCTGTCTCAGACAGACCCTCTCTTCTCTTCTCTGTCTCAACTTACCTTAAGAAGAAGGGATTTTCACTCCGATCGATGAAGAAGGAGCATCATTTGGCTACGAAGGTAAGTGTAATCCTTTTATTTTTATAGATATATGTATATATATACATAGATCTATATATATATGCATAGATCTGTACATCACAGGCCCTAATCGATTTTTTTTTATTTGTATTTTTTTCACCACAATATACATAGATCTGTATATTTGTATGTATATTTCATTATTGATTTTGAGTTTTTATCTATCAATGAACATCTTTGTTTTGGGGATAGCTAGTTTTCTGATTTGTTGTTTAGAATGTTTGGGATGCTGTTCTCTTTGTAGAAGGAAAAAAGAAAAAAAGTTGTAGTAAATCAAAAGAAAACTGGTTTCGGGTCTATGGAGATTATTGTAAAGGGTGGTTGTATCTTACAGCATACTCGATCATTACTAGTTATATTGCTTTATCTTAGGATAAGCGAGTCTGATATATTGCTTTAATCTCTAATTATATATTTTTCCTTCTCTTTCCACCAGATTATATTTGCTATTAAAACTATATTGCAATATTTAGATCAGATCTCCTAAGCTTTTGATGCTTCCTTATAAGTTTAGTAAAGGTAGCAAAATTCTAAGTTAAATTTGTATGTGCATTTCGTTCCGCAGATGACCCACGATTTGAGTTGTAGAAGCCCAAACATGGGTCCTAAACAACCATTTGTGATTATAAAATTTTTGGCATACAGATAAAGGGCCCTGGTAGGCTCTATTGAGAGTGTTGGTGAATTGAGTGATATTATCATTGAAAAATAATCATAATTAGGTAGCTTGCTGCTGCCACTTGACCTAATCAATGTCCATTCTAAATTGTCCCTAATTATCATTATTTTCACCCAAGTTCATAAATTTTTTATTGTGGTACCTCGTATTGTTTATAGCAGCTTCTGGAATTTTGTGGAAGATATCAATTGAATACAGTCAAGTTCTATTAAAAACTATAATCATCTTCAAGATTAGGTGTTCTTTGATGAATTAGTGGATGTTTTGGTTTAAGAAATTTTTAGATTTGTATTTAGTTTTATGATATATTATAAAGTGTATTAGAAGAGATATGGAGATTGCTTGAGGGTTTGCAATTTCAATTGAAACATGTATATATAAAAGCTAATGTTTTAGTTGGCCTCATTTGCTGTTAGAAATTGGTTGCTTCACTGACTTTTCTGGCAATGGTATTCTATTTTTTCTGTTAAACAAATTTTCTTTTGATCCTTGTTGAACAGAATCTATTTGGATTTAGCTAGGAAAAGAGGTTCTAGGTTCTGGGGTGAGGAAATCCAAGACTGTACAATCTTCATTTTCCTTTTCTGTCAATGGTAAGTTTGGTAACAACATTGCTCATTCTCTCTTTCTCCCCTCTCCCCCTATGGCATGGATTCTTCTTCCTTCTGGTGGCATCCTAACCCTGAGGGGACTGCAACTTCTTGGTCTGACTGGTTTAGGATCTAGTACTGGGTTTGAGCATTTGCATTATATGTAAGTTATCATTTTTACTTATCTATCTATAAGCTATTTATGATATTATACTATTCGAGTTAACCATATCCTTTTTCTATCACTGATAGGTTTGAGAGGGTCTGGGATCCAGTGATAGTTCTAGGAGCCCAAAAGCAAATTAGCTACTACTTCTTGAATCTTGTAAGATTTAGTGCTCTCTTAGTGACCAGAAATTTAATCAAAATTGGTTTTGGTCCTCTTGAAGGATTAAAGCCAATTTCTTTTTTTTTTTTTTTTGCAGATTTTTGAGTTGTGTTGTGAAGCTCGGATGATGTGTAGTGTCTTAGTCTGTACAGTATGGTACAGTCTGTTGAGGAAAGCTGTATAGCTAGATGGTGTTGTGGTACTGCATGTTAATGCACTTCTTTGTATGTCTAATATGTTGTTCTGCCTACTATGCTATTATGCAGCACTATTATGCTACTTGCATTGCTTGCTGTTATGCTGCTTTGCAGCAGCAGCACTGTTATGCTGATGTACTTTGTTTGTTGTGCCTTCTAGGTTGTATGAAGTTGATATCTGATGGATTGAGCTGGAATGCTGAAGGACTATTTGCAACTGGTTCAGATTTTAGACTATTTCTGCAATCCTACATTGGGACTGTTCTGGAAGCTGGGCTGTTCTACATTGGTTTATTTCTGAGTATGGAATGGAGCATGCAGGCAGGAGTTTTTTTAAAAATCAGGGGGGTCATAAATGTAATTAGAAATGGTTTAATCCATCTTGAAGGATTAAAGCCATTTTTTCATACTTTTAGAAAATTTGTTCTTTGATTCTTATACGGTCTTTCTTTGTGGAAATAAAAAGTTCTCTTTCTTAGAAAAAAAATTTTGGTCAGGCATCTAGTGTGTAGCTAGAAGGCCTGCGCAGCTGGGAGCATTTTGTCTGTNTATTATGCTACTTGCATTGCTTGCTGTTATGCTGCTTTGCAGCACTGTTATGCTGATGTACTTTGTTTGTTGTGCCTTCTAGGTTGTATGAAGTTGATATCTGATGGATTGAGCTGGAATGCTGAAGGACTATTTGCAACTGGTTCAGATTTTAGACTATTTCTGCAATCCTACATTGGGACTGTTCTGGAAGCTGGGCTGTTCTACATTGGTTTATTTCTGAGTATGGAATGGAGCATGCAGGCAGGAGTTTTTTTAAAAATCAGGGGGGTCATAAATGTAATTAGAAATGGTTTAATCCATCTTGAAGGATTAAAGCCATTTTTTCATACTTTTAGAAAATTTGTTCTTTGATTCTTATACGGTCTTTCTTTGTGGAAATAAAAAGTTCTCTTTCTTAGAAAAAAAATTTTGGTCAGGCATCTAGTGTGTAGCTAGAAGGCCTGCGCAGCTGGGAGCATTTTGTCTGTTCTGGTCTGCTTCTGTATTCAGTCTGGGATGATGCTGTGTGACTTGATCCTAAAAGTGTACACCCAAGTGCAGGCGGTTAAGTTATAGTAATAATCTGGTTAAGTCCGGAGTTGGATCCACAGGGAACTATGACTGGTGTTTTGAAGTAAGCAATAATANCGAAAAATGTACACCCAAGTGCAGGCGGTCAAGTTATAGTAATAATCTGGTTAAGTCCGGAGTTGGATCCACAGGGAACTATGACTGGTGTTTTGAAGTAAGCAATAATAGAGACCAAGTAACTGAAAATTTTGAGAGTTTGGAGTGGTGAAATTTCTTGAATAGAATAGAAGATTCTTTTCAAAAGTTTTCTAGACAAAATATAAGATAAATTCAAATGTAAAACAGTCACCCTTTAGCTTGAGGATCAGAACATGTGGTTAATCATCCGGTTTATTATACTTGTGTTTTGTAACTCAATTAACTCTCATGTCATCAGCAAGTTAATCAAAAGATAAAGATGAACTGTGAGAATTAAGCACATAATTACGATGTCTTTCTAGAAGTGGACAAGAATTGTCTGTACCGAGATTTAACCCGTCTTCAAACAAGTAAGTATTTCTACAAGGCATCCAACCATGACATTAATATTTCATTCTTTAGATAAGACACGATAATAGTGAAGATTGAAATGTATCATGCAGATCTAGCCTAGGTACTTGTCTTGAACCAACATGTTTATCCATGCAAGAGTCATCCGTGACATAGAAAGAACCCATGTTTATCCTAAGTACCTTAGCTTTGCTAGATACATTCAATCATTCAATGAACAAGTGAAATATAAAGCATTAAAGNATGTATCATGCAGATCTAGCCTAGGTACTTGCCTTGAACCAACATGTTTATCCATGCAAGAGTCATCTGTGACATAGAAAGAACCCATGTTTATCCTAAGTACCTTAGCTTTGCTAGATACATTCAATCATTCAATGAACAAGTGAAATATAAAGCATTAAAGCATAAAAGGATTGCACAAATATAACTTTCGGATAATCAATATATGTTCATCACCTCTTACTAAAAGAGTGAATAAGGAACTACTCACTCTTCATGACTTGAGTAAAGCTAGAAACGTGAGTGATACTCATCCCTCAAAATAGAGAACTTACAAGGTAAAGTACAATAAGCGAAGAGCCAATCTTCACCAAAGAATAAGTGAATCACGTTCCACCCTTCACGGCTTTGGTAAAACTATAGAAATATAGAAGAATTTCACTCCTCTAAAGAAGAAGGAAGCTTAAGCAATGGAAGTGAAAGAAATAAAGAAAGTAGAAGAAAGCTAGTTATTTTTGGAGGGTTTCCACCACAATCAAAAGATGAGTTATCACTCTTGATACTTGTAAATAAAAACAAGTACAACTACAAGGGGAGTCTAAGCCTCCATCATGGTTGTCACAACATGAATGTAAAAACTTAGCACAAGTAAATAAAAGACTTTAACTACAAGGGGAGTCTAAGCCTCCATCATGGTTGATACAACTGCAAAATGAAAACAAAAACAAAAAATGTACAAGAACTAGCTCTTTACTCTACTCTATCTAGAGAAAAGATTGCTCCTTTAAGCTCCTTTAATGAGAGTATTTATAGGCAAGGAAGGGGAGAGGAGGGGTGAAGGAATAGTGTTTGTCGCCCAAGTCCAAGTGAAAAGCCAACAACTCTGCAGTCAGTCAGTGGGGGACGTTCGAACGTGATCTGTCGTTCGAACGTTGTGTCTGTTTTTGCTTTAGGGGTGTTCAAACGTGATATGATGTTTGAAGGTTGTCTCTGTCTTTACTTTAAGGGGCGTTCGAACGCCAGATGGTGTCTAAACCCCCTACTCAAGTGGCCTGTGGTCTCTGTGATAGTTACTTTCATACGTCTTGAACAATTTTGACCCTGCACTCAGATACTTGGTCCTTAGTAACTCAAGACAACGTTCGAACGTGGAGTGGCATTCGAACGTTATACTCAAGTACTTATGTGGTTCTTTTTTCTTTGTTGTAACATGCCAGCAGTAGTCTAGTCTTCTAAGGATTCCATAGCACGTTCGAACGTGATACTCAAGTACCTCAACATTTTCCTTTTTGACTGCAACACACCATGTCTCAGCAGCTTGGTCCTCAATCACTTCAAGGGAACGTTCGAACATTGATCCACGTTCGAACGTTCTTACTTTATGCCAAGCTTTTTCAATTTTGCCCCTTAATCCACTGGTGTTACATCTAAGTGTGATATTTGTTATCCTTGAGCTCTTGTTCACTTTAAGACCTGAAAGATCATTACTGAAACTCCATCAAAGCATAATTTGTCCCAAAAAGACATAGTAAAATGCTAACTTTAAGCACTAATCACTATGCTGGAGCTTAGAGCTTAGTGATGGGGTGGGGATCTAAGGCATGGAGCTGGACTGCAAGAGCTGTTCAAGTTTAAGAGCCTTTTATGGTAATTTGAGATGGTTTTGATCCTTTTGAAGGATTAAAGCCATTTTTTTCTATTTTNTCACTTTAAGACCTGAAAGATCATTACTGAAACTCCATCAAAGCATAATTTGTCCCAAAAAAGACATAGTAAAATGCTAACTTTAAGCACTAATCACTATGTTGGAGCTTAGAGCTTGGTGATGGGGTGGGGATCTAAGGCATGGAGCTGGACTGCAAGAGCTGTTCAAGTTTAAGAGCCTTTTATTGTAATTTGAGATGGTTTTGATCCTTTTGAAGGATTAAAGCCATTTTTTTCTATTTTTTAGAACATCTTGTTCTTTGATTCTTATAATTCATTCTTTTTGGGAATAAAATTTTTTCCTTTTACAAAAAAAAAAGGGGTGTAGTTTGATCCTTGTAATTTCCGAATTCATTCAATAAAATTTCTTTTTTTTTTTTAAAAAAAAAATATATTATAAAGCATATTTAGAATAAAACGTGACATAGTTACCAAACATGTTTTTTGTTTTTTATTCTCATAATTTGATAGACAAAAATGACATTNAAGGGGTGTAGTTTGATCCTTGTAATTTTCGAATTCATTCAATAAAATTTCTTTTTTTTTTTTTAAAAAATAATATATTATAAAGCATATTTAGAATAAAACGTGACATAGTTACCAAACATATTTTTTGTTTTTTATTCTCATAATTTGATAGACAAAAATGACATTCAAACATGTTTCTGTTTCAATATTTATCATAAAACAGAGACAAAAATTGTCACTGTTTTTGATTGTTTTGAAGACGCAAAAACGAAAACGTTACCAAACGATGTGCTTGGGTGGTGTTTTTGTTTTGTGTTATTTGTTATTTGTTTTTATTTTTTGTAAAAAATAAAAATGTGTTTGGATTTGTATTTCTGTTTTATATAAGATCAGTTGTTTTTGAAGACAGGGCCTAAAAACAAGAAACAAAAAAAACTTGTTCCAAGAAATAGAAAACAAAACAAGCGACCGAGGCTTGGGGAGGAGTTAATGAGATCTAGAATTCGAATCTTCTTAACAGCAAAACATATTTTTTTTCGTTGAAATATAGAAACTCAGTTCATTTTCTTTCCCCTCTCTATAACAGAACAACGATGCCCTGTTCTGGATGTACCCAGTAGAAAGTCCTGGAGTGTAGTGAATTCTCTGGAATTTTGTAGGTGGAAGATGATCAAATCCTTGAAGGACTTTGATCTGTTGGTGGATAAACAAGAAAATCATATCTATTTAATCTCGTGGNAGAACAACGATGCCCTGTTCTGGATGTACCCAGTAGAAAGTCCTAGAGTGTAGTGAATTCTCTGGAATTTTGTAGGTGGAAGATGATCAAATCCTTGGAGGACTTTGATCTGTTGGTGGATAAACAAGAAAATCATATCTATTTAATCTCGTGGTTCAACTTGTTCTTCAAAAAAGGATTATAGAGTCACAACGAATGGATTCATAATTAGAGGTGATTTAGGGTCAGTTGGAGAAAGGTAAGATGGTTGGTCATTACTAGTGCCAGCCCAACCTTTAGGCCAGTTGGCCATTGCTTAGGGCCTTCAAATTGGAAGAAATATTTGGGGCCTCAAAATAAAATAAATATTGATATATAATTAAAATTTTATAATATAATTTTAATACTCAATATTGTTGATTGTGGTATTCCAAATATAGTAAAATCAGTTGTTGAAATTTCTGATTTGAAACATGTAATGTATAATAAAGCAATAACAATAAAATGCGAAACAGTTACACAAAATATAGAAACAGTTATTATAGTCTTAACGAAACAGTAACAGAAAACAGTTACAC